CCAGACACTAGTCAGGTTGATAAGAAACTTGCAACAGTTCTGTTCCCTGTCACCACTCTCCATTTGAAACAAATCGCAAAGAAAATAATAGAATTTCGAATTCTCCAAGTAGACGCCTGGCTTTTCACATCCAGATCACCAATGCAAACTTGTATGTGTGTTTAGTGTGTGGGTTTCTGTGTGTGTGTTTGTGTGTGTGTGTGTGTGTGTGTGTGTGTAAGCACACACGGGTGTGTACGCATGCAAGTTCTTCATCTGTCACGTGTGTGCATGCACCCAGAAGTATATCTTGGTTTTAGTGTATAACTTGGGAGATGCAAACAGTTCTGGGGCTCCTCCCAGGGAACTATGTTAGTGTGGGCCCCTGACACTCCCTAGCTTCGTGGCAAACCCGCCTGTGCAGCGGCATGTGCATACATGAACTATGCATGTATGCATGCAGCTACATGGAGGAGCCAACAAAAGCCAGAAGCACCTTTTATGGTTAGTACTAGTTTCTTTTCTGGGAAGACAGAGAAGATTTATCAAGAATCGTATGGGCCAAGAATTTCCCGAAAAGTGCCTTTTGAATTCAAGCCAATGATCATTAGCTACGTTAGATATACAGCGTTTTGGCTTGTGCTCTTTATTCTCAACAAGCAAATAAATATAACATTTTAAAATATCTTCTTTATTCCAGAGATCTTGTTGCTACTACTGCTTTTCAGATTTGATCTCCTGCCTACATGAGTATTTTAAGAGTGTACCAAGAGAACAGGCGGGGGTTGGAGGAATTAGGGGACCGTAGAGATGGAAGAGGATGGGAAGCCATCTTTATCTATTTAGAAAACAGTTGCAGACAGGACACATGCTCACGCTGCTCCAGGAGCCAGCACTGAGAACTGAAGTACATGAGATTGCAGGGGAGGCCAGATTCCAACTCAACAGAAGAACTTTCTATCACCTAGTGCTGTCCAACGTGGTTGGCTTATCTAGTGGCCAGCTGCCCATCACTGAAAATTCTCTGCCAAAGCTGCATCTTGGCAGGGGAAGGAGAGGTGGAGGGCTTTTACTGCACACCAGTCGAGTCACTGTAGGAACCCTCTAGAATCCTCTCGGTCTGAGTTTCCAAGCTGTCATCAGGCGCACACAGGGCATGCACAGTTGGTTGGGTTTCCCCCAGAGTTGTGACGCGTTCGTGCGAAGCCTGACACGTTCCCCAGCCGAGCCCCCGGCTGCTGAGGAAACACGCGGCGAATGGATGGATTGAGCTGTGGCCACACTTCACGGCCTTAGGAATTTTTCCTGGCCTGGAACCTGGGACCTTGGACCTTGGACCTTGGACCTTGGACCTTGGACCTTGGACCTTGGACCTTGGACCCTTCTCCCACCCGTTAGCCAGCTGCCACAGGTGGTGCTTTTGAATGTTATCTTGCTGGTTCTCAGGATAGGCTCACAGTAGGTAAGGCACTGGCCGAGTTCTCCCCCTGATTTCTCCCGCCCACTCCGAGGCGAAGCTTGGCTGCCTGGCTGCCTCTGCCAGCTTGGGAATGAGAGGCGCAGGGAAGTACGGGGCAGAGCCGGCGTCAGCCCACTGGGGGCTTCACCCACCGAGCAGGGAGAGTAGTCTGAAGAGGCGAGAATGGGCGAATGGCCTCTGTTAACCTTTGCCCTTTCTGGAGCGGAAATAGCACTCACTGACCATGACCCAGACACTTCTCCTTTGTTCAATATGTGAGACCTCCATAGGGACCACAGGTCTGTCCAAAATCACCTTAACGTCCATATTAATAATAATGGTGGTGGTAGTGGCGGCGTAGTGGTCATGGCCACAGCTGGTGTTTGCTGAGTCTCCCTGTTCGCCGGCTGCTGCGATGAGGCCGTTACCTGATCACCTCCTGCACTCCTCCCGGGAAGTGGATGCTGGTAACAGGCATATGTGGAGGAGGGAACTGAGTGGGGAGGGGATGTGCCTGAGGCACCAGCAGACTCCACAGCGGAATTCCGCCTGGCCCACTTTGTTGCCCTGCCCGCCCTCCAGGCCCGTCTTTACCACCACAGGTCGGAGCTTCTCCAGCCCCTGCAGTGAGCCCAGGAAGAGGTTAGGGTGTGACTGTAGCAGCCCCCACTCTGGGTGCTTCGAGACATTGCTCTCACCCAGCCCTCACAGCAGACTTCGGGGGTGGATGTTGCTTCGGGGACGCGCTCAGTCACCTGGTGGACCAGCTGGCCCTCCAGCCCAGCAGCGAGCCTGCCGTCTGTGCCTCCGCAGTACGTCAGCATGTTCTCCAAACGAACAAAGCCGAGCACCCTCACAAACACTGAATTCATGTTTCCTGGCCTCCCCTTCCCAAATGGATACCCTAAATACTGACCATTTTTTGAAGTAATCGTAGTAATCAGGAATACATTCTTCAGTGTTTTCGTTTTCTCTTCTGCATACTCCCCGAAATAAAGCCTCTCTCAAAGCCACAGGACGAAACTCAGCGAGTGTGAGGCCATGGAAATTAAGAAAGTTTAGGAAGACATGACACTAAACCAAAAGAAACAAAATATTGATTAGGGACTTATTTTTGTAAGCAATTAAAATATGAATCATTATGATAGGACTGTATTCCGGGCTCCGTGTCCTCCTGTCATGGAGACAGCATTACCATGACTACCGTGACTGAAAGGCTGGGTTTGGAGGCGCTCCGAAGCCTCCCCAGGTCCAGAGCAGTCACACGTGCCTCGCTCGACCTTCTGGAGAACTGTGAAAAGTCTGAGTCAAAATGCCCTGCGCCTTCTCGCCCGTTTCACTAAAAGGAAATACCCAAGTGACACGGTGTCCTCAGCTCTTTCAAGTCTTTGCTTTGATGAGTCATAATAGTAAATAGTGGCAGTAAGTTATGTTAATAACAACCAAAATTCAAAGGTAGAGGGAGGCAGAAAGCCAGAGTGAGACACAAGGGACCTCAGAAAGCCTGTAGAATAGAATGTTATGAGCTTTATTTGGTTTAAGTGGAAAAGGGGTAGAGGTTTGCACAGGGAAAGAATTTAACAGAGTATTTCTCAGATTCAGGCTGCATCGAAAAGAAAAAAATAATTTAGCACTATATACAGCCCCAAATAGGCAGTTAAATTAAGTCGCTAATAAAAGAATCTGTTTAAAATGGCGAAAATTAGAGATAAAAGCGCTTTGTCTGCTACCGTTGTTAACTGCGTATCTGTCTGGAAGGGCGTGGGGGACAGTCTGAAGACTGGTATTTTAAAGAATGGTCACCCTCCTCTGAGGGGTTTTCAGGCACCCACCTGCATTTTGAACTTGGATATAAGCCAAAGGGGTGGAGCCCAACCATGACAGTGTTTTTTCTCTAATTAACTTCTCAGTGGACACTTCAAACACCAAATATATCAGAACAGAGGCCCCAGCTCAGAACAGTTCCCACCATCTTCGGCAAGGGGCTGACACCTAAGGACAGATTTCTGCCACTCATGGGGCCTTGGAGCAGCGCCATGGTGTACAATGAAGGCGGGAAGCATCCTAGATGTGCCTGTTGCCTGTATGGTCTCCTCAGTACTTCGCGCCTCTGCCCCGACCTGTGAATTGTTTTTCCCTGTTTGTTCTCTTCCTGCCTGGAATTGGGGTGGGTAGAAAAGCATGGTGTTTCTTTTCCCAGAGGGCGGGGATGATTTCTATGAAGAATCTATGAGTTGTCACTGGACCATTAAAACTTCATATACTGCCCTGGCCGGTTTGGCTCAGCGGTTAGAGCGTCTGCCTGTGGTCCTGAGAGACCCGGGTTCGGTTCCCGCTAAGGGCGCGTACCTCAGTTGCAGTTTGTCCCCGGCCCTGGTCGGTTGTGCGGGTGGCAGCCACTCAATGTGTCCCTTTCACGTCGATGTCTCTCTCTCTCTCTCTCTCTCTCTGTTCCTCTCTCTCCCTCCCACTCTACCTGAACAAAAAATGGAAAAATGTCCTCCGGTGAGGATAAAAAAAAATAAAAAAATAAATAAATAAATAAAACTTCATATACTCAATGATTTCATCATCCTTTGGATTATCTGAAATGTAAGCAAAGATAGATGTGGAAAGAATGTTTTCACAAAAGCAAATAGCAGTCGATTAGGACAATTTGAATTTCAAATCAGGTGCCCTGCCCTCAGGCAGCTGCTGGAGGGTTCAGTGATGGAGGAGGAGAGGGGCACCGGATAAGCCTGATTCTGACGGAACCGGATGGGACAAACAGGGCTTTCCTCTTGGTGGCAGGATTAGGGGGACTTTGGTTTTCTTTCTGGTTTTCAACATTGTACAATACTTTTTTGTATATTTCATACTCAGAAAGTTCTTTTTAAAAAATCACATGGGCCCTGGCCGGTTTGGCTTAGTGGTTAGAGCGTCCGCCTGCGGTCCGGAGAGACCCGGATTCGGTTCCCGCTAAGGGCATGTACCTTGGATGCAGTTTGTCCCCGGCCCTGGTTGGTCGTGCGGGTGGCAGCCACTTGATGTGTCCCTTTCACATCGATGTTTCTCTCTCTCTCTCTCTCCCTCCTGCTCTATCTGAACAAAGAATGAAAAAGTGTCCTCGGGTGAGGATAAAAAAAAAAAAGAAAAGAAAAAATCACATGGGCCCTGGCCAGTTTTGCTCAGTGGTTAGAGTGTCGGCCCTTGAACCAGAGAGACCCGGGTTCAGTTCCCGCTAAGGGCACATACCTCTATGGCAGTCCCTGGCCCCGATTGGGTTTGTATGGGTGGCAACCACTCGATCTGTCTCTCACATCGATGTTTCTCTCTCTCTTCCCTCCTCTCTCCTGTACTATCTGAGGATAAATGCAAAAATGTCCTCATGTGAGGATAAAAAAAATGACATGGCTCTGACCTTCTGCGTTCCAAGCAGCCATCCTGTGTGTGCCCGTGAGCTCCGTGAGAGCAGGAAGCAGGCCCGTCTCACCCACGTGTGGCCCAGTGCTGCGTGTGCAGTCGGAGCTCAGTGGCATAAATCATCCCCATTTCTTTATTCCTCTTTCCTTTTTCTTTCCAGGCGATGTGCTCTATGAACTCCTTCAGCATATTCTGAAGCAGAGGAAACCTCGGATTCTTTTCTCACCGTTCTTCCACCCCGGAAACTCGATCCACACCCAGCCGGAAGTCATACTGCATCAGAACCACGAAGAAGGTACCCGAGGAGGCTTCTCTTTCCTTGCCTGACAGTTAGACAAATCCCAGAGGTCTCATGGTTAATTGGATAAGCTGCGATTCATTTTTCATTCAACAAACAAATTATTGAGTGCTCACTTTGTATAAGACCCTGGGGGGAAGGCCAGGACGATCGAGATCACACTCTTCGTTCTGAGCAACTCACAATCTAGGTGAAGCGAGGTACAGGGTGTGCACACAGCCTCGTGGGAGGGGGTACCAGCAGCAGGGCCGCCTTTGTGCACGAGGCGGCTCTGGCCAATCCCTGGATGGTCCCGCAGGATTCTGTAAGCAGGGAGGAAATGGAGACCATTCCAAGCAGAGAGAATGACATAGGATGGAGTAAATCCTTGGAATACGAAGCAGGTGACTCGAGTTGTAGAGCTTGTCACACACACACCCGCAACCTTTTGTTATAAGAAATTTAAAAACCCCAAATAGAGAGAGTGAACTACACACACCCTGTGCGCCATCACCTGCTCCGGCACCGTCAGCACTGCCTTTGCAGAGCTGCTCCAAGGAGTTTAGATTGGAAACAGGATGCGGGGGACTTGGATGGAGGAAGGCAATGGGGAGTCACTGAAGATTTGTGTGCAGAGGGTAATGAAAGCTGGAGGAAGGAAAACACATCCAAACCCTCTGAAGTCTGTGGGGGCCCAGGGGTTCCTCTCGGAGCACCCAGGGCGGTGTCTTACAGCATGCTCGGGGACGTGCTCACCTCACTGTGCAGGTGCTGCTCTCCTGTGCGGCACACCGACAGAAAGCCACGGGGAGACAACAGCAAAGCCCGACTCGCACAGTGGCCCTACGAAGTTCCAAAGCAGGCCTGTGGAGATAGGATGTAAAGGCTTACTTCACACGCCATTGTGTCGGGCAGGATGCTCGGTGCCTCTGGGAGCCTTAGGTCCATGTGGTCCTGCCCGGACAGATTAGACAGCAGCTGGGGGGCCACAGCAATACTTTTAAACTTGGACATTTTCTTAGGACCAGATTACTACGGGACTAAAACTCCAGCCCCGTGGGGTATTTCCTTAAATTGATGGATCACCCCCGGGAGCAGGGCTAATATTTTTGTTTTGTTGTTGGCAAATTAAAAAAGTGAGAAGGTGTTTTCTTAATTAACACTTCACAAAAGAGAGCCTGACCAGGCAGTGGCACCTCTTCTGTGCCAAGTGCCTCACAGCAGGTCCCCGCACTTCCTGGGGTTTCTTGCCTGCTCCCTGCCCTGTCTCTCCTCCTTTCTTCCTCTCCTTTTCACCCTTGCTAAATTTAGCAGCCAGCCCCACCCCCAATTGGGTTTCCTCCTTCTTCTGCTCTTCCTGCACGTACATTTCCGCTTGCATGATAGCCAGCAGCTATTCCGGACCAGGGGAGGCGGGTTCACCGAAGCCTGACATTGAGGCGAGAATCGTATTACCTTGCCTGCCTCTTCAGATACAAAGGGTGTGTGATGGGTTTTTGTTTTTGTTTTCCTTTCTCTCTCATTTTCTCATGACTTAAAAAAAAAAAAATCCCATTTGGAATTCTATCCCCCTTTTTATTCCCAAATGTGATTGGAGATGGGTGGTCTCACCTCATCACAAAACCTTCCTCCTTCCCCACTCCTGATGTGAGTCATAAGGAAGTGTGTGTCGTTCTCATTTGCAGGAGCTAATCAATAGGCTTGTTCTCAGAGCCACTCTCATACCCACTAAATACAGATGTGCCACGACCCAGGCTTTAATGAGCTGTGTTCCGAGTGTTATGATGGTGGTGGGGATGAGCTCAGTAGGTAAAAGAATGGAGCTAATGAGGCCAAGGTCAAGGGCCTCGTTGCTCTGTGAACCAGTTAGCTCTGCTGCAGACCCGGCTCTTAAAAGTACCGCTGTTCTCAGAGACCATTCCTTAGAGCTGTCAGCCAGGAAACAAGATCTGAGAGCGGTAAAGCCCCCTCCTTCACCCGTTCAGACCAGGGCAGGCTCTGTGAACAGGTGGACATGTCAGGAGGGAATTGTGCGTCTTTATCAGGTGGTAGCAAATGAGAAGAGCCGCACAAGGCACAGAGGTGACATGAGGAGGCTGCCTGTTCCCAGACTTCCAGGACTGTTTGCCTTTGGTGACACAGGGACCAACTAGAGTGGTGAACGGACCAGTGCAGGTTCCTCACCCTCAGCCTTCCTGTCTTATCCGCCAACAGGAAGCATCCAGCTCAACGTGAGCTGGCTCTGGAATCAGTACTGTGGTATTTACTGGTGACTGGTAGCACATTCATATGGGCATGTGTTAACATACAGAGAGATCTGGTCCAGAAACAAAGTTCTGTAAAGGGAAACTCTACATATCAAACAGTATATCCCCCGTGGTTTATTTTACATCACTGGAGACACAGTCCCATGTCAAAGTATGTTGCTCTTGACTTGGCCCCGAGAGCGATGACAGTGAGGGAGGAGCACAGAGCTTTTCCGACAGGGCCCCACTCAGCCCTCAGGAGGCTGGCGCGGTGTGAGCGTGAACGCAGCTCCAGTCAGGCCCCGGGAGCGTCACCTCATCACTGCCCTCCACTCAGTGCGGACCCTCCTGTCACACTGGGATAGTCTCACGAAACGAAGGTGTCTCGTTTCATCTAGCAACAGCCCCCTGCACATCCCACCTGAGTGCATGGCTTTGGACTCCCTCCTCCCTCACTGGCAGCCCCATGGCAGCCCCCAAGCTGGTGTTGGTGTTAGCTCAGGGCCCCTCCAGGCTCTGACAGGAGAGGAAGGCGAGCTACCAATTCAAACCCTTCTGCTGTGAACACTCACCGTCTCGTGTGTTCTGAAATGGTCCCGCCTTGGGCAAAGCAGTCCTCAGATCACCGGGAGGTCTGGGAGAACCAGCATCCCCGCCCCTTTTCCTCGTGCGCTGACGGGAAGAGCGTGCAGTGTTGTATCACGAAGTAGCCTTATACTTTTCCATGCGCACTGAGATGCTAAGACAATGACATGGGACTCCGGTAAGTAAGGTAGAGCAGTAGGCATAAACCAGAACCATCTCAGACAAACCTAGACACGTGGTCAGCTTAGATAAAAGTGTTTGAAGTCGAAGTCAGGAAACCAGTTCTAACTCTTTATTCTTCCAGGACAATCATAAGGGCTAAATTGCTCATTTCTCTGGCCCTCGGTTGGAAGATAGGGGATTAGACTAAATGATCTCAGATGTTACAGCTCTCAAATCCTCACATTCTGTCCACAGTCTGAGCCTCCCTGGGTGAAGATAAATAGACACATTCTCTACCTTTAGGGTCATGGGCAACTAAAAGCTAGAAAATCCTAACAGTGCCCTGCCTGGTGTTACTCGGAAACTGCAAAACACCCTTCTAGATTCCTTTTCTTTGATTGTTGTGACTCATTTTATCTGCATAATGTGACTTAGTTAGATAGTTAAGTAGAAAGAAGACAAAATAAACAATGAAACTATTCTTTCACCAAGACCAGGAGGCAAAACATCTTAAGAAATGTCAGACCAGCAAATGATTATAAAGTAAATTTATTTCATCACACACAGTTGTAATATCAACTTCTTTTGATACCTTAGGTTCCAAAGTCACTTGCTTTGAGCTCCCATGGAACATTTAAAAGAAGGCGTTTGTCCCAAAGTATGTATGAGATGGCCACTGGTCCCTTGGTGTTAAAACTACTGAAATAGTGATTCCCTAAAAGCGGTTTAAAATGTGCTGTCAGTCTGGCCTAGTCTCAGAGTGGCAAAGTTACCCCTGTCGGCCTGGACGGGCACAGTCTCCAGGGAGAAGGAACGACATCTGTGTTTCTTAAATGTCCTTACCCCACCACCCCTTTGGGGACCCTCCTGTAACTTCAGCTCTTCCGTTCCACTCTCTCCTCTGTCCTGTCTGCGAGACCGGGAGGTGATTGTGAGTCACTTTGATTTGGAAATATTTACACATGCTGTGATTGTTTCTGCCTCGGTGGACACAGCTTTAAGGTGAAAATTCTGCTCTGGGGCCGCTTTTGCCACCAGGTGGACCTGGAAAGCGGAAGTGAAGACGAGAAATTTCGAGTGTCGAAATGCTGTTTTTCTCAATTCTCCTCACAGCCAGCACAGGGTGCGGGCATAGAGAGAGCATGTCTTTGATGGGGACAGGGTGGGTGGCCTGCATTCTAGGGTGGCCCACAGAAGCTTTATTTATATGATTCCTTTATTAAGGGAAATAGTACCCCTCCCTTCCCCCACCCCCAGATCTGAGTGCCCGAAGACTGTTTTGGAGGAAGGGAATCTTATACAAGTTTAATGACATAATTAAAGAAGATACGGTATATGAATCTGCTTTATAATAACAAAATGAGAGCTAACATTTATGGGGGCCTTTTTGCATGTCAGGTCCTGTTCTAAGCTCTTACATGTTTAAGTAGTTTAATCTTCACAACCAGCCCCTTAAGAAGGTCACGTTCCCGCTTTACAGATGCGGAAACAGGGAGAGCAGTTTGCAGTTCGGAGCAGACATGCCCCAAACCAGACAGCTGCAAAGGGGCAAAGTAAGACGTACCCCAGGCCCCAGGCTCCCACGCTGCGTTCATCCCGCAGGTGGACGAGCCGACAGAAACATTTTCATCAATTTCTTTTTCCTGCAAGCACCTTGGACATGGAACCAATACATGGGCCATCAGCAGAACTGTAGAGATTAGGATGCCAAGTCAGGTCTCCTGACTGGGGTGCACTGGGGTGCACTGTGGTGGGTCCTAGCATGCCCATTTATAATTTTTCTGCTTCAGAGTACCTGAAACAGCCAAATCTAAATTAAAAAAAAAAAGTCAAAGATAACTTTTGAGACACCAGTATATGTCCTCAGTTCATGATATGAAAATCTCCTATTGCCCTGGCTGGTTTGACTCAGCGGTTAGAGTGTTGGCCTGTGGACCAATGAGTTATGGGTTTGATTCCGGTCAAGGGCATGTACCTTGGCTGCGGTTCATCCCCGGCCCTGGTCGGGGTCATGTGAGAGGCACC